ACCACAGAGCTGAAGATCCATCATTACACAGGTCCCTGCTGGTGGGAGGGGTGGCCAAAACCACCAGGCAATCAACACGTAAAGCACTGAAAGAGAAGTTTCAGGATGTTTTGGTCTGAGTATAGACTGTAGACAGAAGTCACAGACCCAACCCAAAATGACATTATCCTCATAGTGAAGGTCATTCTGGTAACAACAGGATGGAGTGAAGTTTCAATACAAAGTCATTTTTTTTTTTTTCGGAGGGGGGTATCACCTTCCTAAAGATACACATGTTAAGTAGCATATTTATTCAATGATCTGTTAGATGTATGTGCAAGTATTATTGTTGGAGAAGAAAAGGGAAGAACAAACTAGATTTGGGACTTACTCCCCAGCGTTGGAAATAAGGAATAAGTCAACTACATAGCATCATCAAAATGTGGCAGAAGGAAGAACTGCCTTAGTAGATCTAAGCTTTACCAAGGCCCGCTCCTCACCTTGACTCCTTGAACATGGATGCCCCAAGGCCCTCACAGGGGCATCAAAGCCATCAGCTTTGGACTTTGATATCACTTAGCTTCCACTGATCAGGAATTCCTGGAGAAGTCCCACCCCTTCTGCCTAAAGATCCAAACCACATGACTGGTCATTTTAAAATTGAAAAATACCTCCAAGTTCTTTATGATTGGAGAGTCTAATGGGAGCTAAAAAGTCAGACCTTCAAAACCTCCCAACTTTACAGTTCAATTTATTGAGCATGTAATATGAAACTCGGTGGCTAATACCGTCAATGCCTCTTTCAACTCAGAAAAGGAGAAATCAGAACTCTGTAATAGTTTGAGGGAGATCAGATTTGTTTTCTCCTGCCCCACCAGGAACACTCTGTGCACCATACTACAAATCACCCTGGGAAATACGTCCATTCAAAGGGCGAGGAGTCGCAGGATGAGCTGCCAGGGGCCATGGTGCACACAGGGGTGGGGGCAATGAAAGACCACCTCAGGGGCTGCAGCAGAGACGATAAGAAAATGAGGAACAAGAGGGAGAATGATGAGAATCAAGGATAGAATCAACGGGAAGGCCAGAAGCAGCCCTGGAAGGCAGGGCTTTCAAAGACCCAGGCTTTATGAGGGGTGGTCAGAAGCCATAAGGAGGCTTTGTGTGGGAAGAGGACATGAGCCCACCTGCCTTGCCAAAATCCCTTAGTGAATAAAGACCATTTTTATTTCTGAGGATGAACAGGACCGACTCAGTAGCCTGAAGTCCAAATGGTCCCCGTCTCTCCTTTAACAGTAAGGCAAGTGACATGAATAGAGGTTCACGATCACGGTCATGTTATCATCCCAGTTCCAACAAGCCCACCCAGGGGCCACAGAGCTGCATTCTACTGCTCCTCTGGGATGGATGCCAGTGCCAAGAGCGGTGCAGAGAATATGCTCAGAAAAAGGAAACACAAATTAACTCTGGCAGATATTTGGTTCATTTTTCGGAATCCATCTTAAAAAACAGAATTTTCCAGTAGCCAGAGGGGAGGGAAATGCTCACAAGGGGCAAAATTGCCATGGGACCTAGAGCAACCATGCCCTGCTTCACAGCACTGCCCCTTGAATTTTTTTATTTTTTTTTTACACTATGCTTGCAGAGGAACATCTGTGTTTACATCAGGGAATGTCAAAGAGGCACAAAAGAGAAATGGCTAAATACAATTAAAGAGGTAGAAACGGAGTTTGCTGTGGAATTTAAGAGCAAAAAGGAGACTAAACCACATGACTGAGAGCCAGAAAATAGGTAACTGCTCTGTCATGAAAATAAAAGCCAACTTCAACAATCAAGAAAAATCTTTGCACTCTGGCAGCAGTGCATCTGCATGCCTGGTGTGTCCCCTTTTCTCACCCTCCAACCTACTGCTTTTTTAGAAAAGTGAAGAGGAAGAGTGGCATGGGGAGATGAGCAGTGACAGGAGATGGTTCTTCTTTCAGCCTGATTACTTTCCTGAGTATCACAATTGCTTTAACTCCTTAACGAAATACAAAGTATAGAGTATCTATGGTAGAAAACTGGAGATGAACGATTTAGCAAAAGCACAGTAGAGGAAAACACCCCTTCCCCCCGACACACAGGTTGCCAGAGAACTTCAAAGTACTAAGTCCGTATTTTTATAATACCATTAAGTGAGCCTTTCTATATATGAAGCCATAATGGAGAAAGTTGATTGACTTGACTACATAAGACTTAAAATTTTACATAAAAGAACAGTAAGCCAATTTTTTTAATAAAATAGGGAAATAGGAGCACCTGGGTGGCTCAGTCGGTTGGGCATCTGCCTTCAGCTCAGGTCCTGATCCCAGGGTCTTGGGATTGAGCCCCACAACGGGCTCCCTCTCCCCCCTGCTCGTGCTCATGTGTACTCGCGCTCTCTCTCCCCCTCTCTCTGGCTCTCGTGAGCATGTGTGCTCTCAAAATCTTTTTTAAAGGTAGGGAAATAAACGATTAAGTTATGATAGAAAATTTTAATTAAGTTTGGTCATCTAAGTTTTTAATAATATCTATCATTTCCTTTGGGGATATTATACACACCTCTTAACAGCCCTGCAAAATAAATGGTACTTAAGTATAGTTAACCTGGGAGTGTGAAGGAGAGAGGAGTATTATAATAAAACAAAGAGATTGAGACATATAGTAGAAATGACGCTCCAGCAAGGGAAATATTACTTCTTGGTGGAATGAGGTTAGTATCTGTGGAAGAGGCGGCTTTTGGTTGGATCTTAAAAAAAAAAAAAAATAATAATTAAATAAGATTTGAACACTGATGGGAAGAACAAAGAAGAGGGCACAGAGGCAGTGAGTCATCTAAAAGCATGGGGACTGAGGGACTGGCTGGGCACAGGGACCTGTTGGGTTTGCCCACAGCAAGAAGACCCCAGGCTGGCAGAGCAGGCGGAGGTGGCTGTGGGAGAGCTTTGAATATCCAGCTAATGAGGCTGGGCATAATTCAAGAGCTGCCGGGAGCCACGGGAGGGTTAGAGAGAACCCAGGTAGCCAGAGTCATCATTTAGGAAGATGAGAGCCGGCCCCAGGCAATGCTGGTCCCCGTGCCGCCTTCACGAATGACATGGACCTGATGCTTTCCAGAGTGGCTGGAGGGCAAGCGACAGTCCACGCCTACCTCTCATCCTACCAGTTAGACGTCACCTGCTCTAAACTGGCCAACTAGATGTGTTCCCACACTCCGGACAACGAACCTTTATTGCTTCAGGTTTGAACTGTCAGAGCAGATAACCAATGTACGCAGCTCTGAAAATACAACAGAAATGAAAGCATATGCGTGCTCAATTAGAATACCACCACCAACACAGTGAGACTTCATCGCCTCACCTAGTGCCTCTAAAAAGGTTTCCGTGGGTCATGGGACACAGCATGGACGCTTATCCCATTTTCTTGAGAAAAGAAAACTGTGGAAGCTGAAACCTACATCCCAAGTGCCCAACGCTTAGGTATGTGCGACAGAGAACAGTCTCTGCCCTACAGGCGAGGATTTTATCAATTACCAGTTGGGATCTTTCTCTGTTAGGGCTGCATCAGAAGAAATCAGTAACCTGCACTTTGAATTTGCATTTTTTAAGTTTTTATCTCTTCAGTCTCTCTCGGTCTCTCTATTCTCTTTCTATTCCCCCCCC